TTGTTTTTTTAAGGAACCCATTATCTGGTTCAATAATACACCTAGACACCAGTTAAGTGGAGAAGAGAGGGCCAGAATCCAGTCAAGATATTTTGCTTGTTTACAAGAAAGGGAGGACCAAAAGCCCTTCAAACTCCCTTTATACATAAAGAAACAGGAAACTGTTTCTAAAGTAAAGAAACAGGAACTCTAAAATTTTACTGCATTGTGCCTGGAATCCCAGAACTGCAATTTGTGGCAGTCCCACCAGAGAGCAGCCTTTATGCATTTATATTCTCACTTGGCAAAGCCATCCTTACATCTCAGCATTCATCCCCAGCTCCCCACCATGTCTGGGCTGGAACAAACCCCTTCAAGCTTTTGTGGAAAAATGGCATTCCCAAGACTCTGCAAATATTTCCTCCATGTTAAAACTCTATAGATAGAGAATTCTGAAAAGTTAGCAACATGATTTGTCCAGAAGACGGCAGGGCCTGGCGCATTCTTTGACCTCCAGCAATAAACCTGACAGCGGGATGCCAGGATGAGCCTCTCCTTCTCTCCCCACCCTCCCCATAAAGCGCCCAGCCAGGTTGTAAGAAGAGAGAATATTCACTGGGGTGAAGGAACTGCAGGGAGTGGCCTCTGGCTCCGTGGCCCTGTCCTTTCACTGTCTTTGCAGAGCTGCGTGTAGACTTTGTATCTGGGTGACTCAGGGACATGACTAAGCATCAACACTCACCACACCAGGCTAAGATGGGAGCTTGAGAATTTTCCAGATAGATTCACTGGGGTACGGAACCCACCCCCTTAGAATCAGTGGCACATCAGCTTAATGAACACCACATCCATATTTAAATACCTTTACATATATACTGGGGACATTTAGACAAGTGCTGCAAGGGCTAGTCACAGGTTCATCATCAAGGAATCAGAAATAACTTCATTCCTTTATAATAACTAAGTGAGCCAGTTAACACTCTGCTTTGCCCTGAAGAGCTCTAGTGGCACTGTCTATAGCGGGGTTGTGCTGCCAGCTGATGCTGCTAACCTAAACATTCACTCCAATCTCCTGTGCTCTGACTCCATCAGCAGCTCTTCAAGAGAAAGATGGGCAGCCTTCTCCCACTAAGATTCACACCCTCAGGGAAGTTCTGGTGGCCTAGTGGCAAGAAGCTTCATTGCAATCCCAGAGGCGCATGGTTCAAATCCACCAGATGCTCTGCCAGGGAAGCAGGGACAATCTCCTCCAGTACCAGTCAGATCTGATTTGATGGTACACACACAAAAATAAAATAAATCAATATTAAAAAATAAAATTTTTTAAAAAAGATTCACACCCTCAGAAACCAAATGTAGGGTGTCTATCAAATCACTGGTAGTGGGCTTGGGGCTTTTTTAGGTTTTACTCTGAGGCTATCTGTTCCCTTCTTTCTCAATATAGCAGTGGCTTTCTTGTCCGCTCCCCCTTCTCCAATCCTAGCTGAATAAAGCTCAATTTGCATATCTGCAACCTTGCCCAACTTAAACTCTAGGTAGAAGTGACCATCTTCTGTTAGAACATAATTGTGCACCACAGAGTTTTTAAGGAAATAACCTTTTGGAAGCAGATTGCCAGGCTTTTCTTGTGAAGTACCTCTAGACAGATTTCAATCATCAACCTTTCAGTTAGTATTCCAGTGGTGCCCAAGGACTCCTAAAATAAAGATATGTCTATTTAAATATTGTGTGTGTGTGTGTGTGTGCACGTGTGTGTGAAGTAGTAGCTGGTGGTATAATGGGTTATGTGTTGGACTGAGAAAGGTCAACAGTTCAAATCCACCAGCTGCTTCACAGGATAAAGATGAGACAGTTTGTTCCTATCAAGATACACAGCCTTGGAAACCCAGTGGAGGGTCACCATGAGTTGGAATCAACAGGTGTGTGGAAGGGGGTGGGGTAGGAGAGAGCACTAGTAGCCTAGTGCGTAAGGGGGTTCACTGCCAACCCAAAGGCAGTTGGTTCAAATTCACCAGCTGCCTGCCCTCCAAGAGAAAGATGGGCAATGTCTTCCTGTGTGATTTAGAGCTTCTGAAAACCCACTGGAGTGTCAGCTGTGAGTGGTTATTACTCATTGGCACATAACAATAGATAAAGATAGGTGATAGATAGATAGATAGATAGATAGAGTTGTTGCTGTGTACCACTGAATGAGAAATGACCCATAGCTGATCCTCTGGCAGGTTTTTAGAGGCAGAATTGACTCATAGCTGACCCTCCAGAGGATTTTCAAAGGTAGTCAATTGTATGGGAGGAGACTGCCATCTTTTTCTTACAGAGTAGCTGGTGGATTTGAACGATGTACCATTGGGTTGGCAGCACAATTTCTTACCACTGAACCATCAGAGCTAAATATCTCTACCTCCACATACATAGCTATATCTGGAAGATCCTGGGTGGAGGGGGGGACCCAAACAGCAGACAAACGCATCACTCTAAGTCATATGCAAAAATCCTTTATTATTAAGGAGTCAAGAGGCATTAGGTCTTTAATATAGACATTCAGAAACTCCAGGGAAATCTGTAGTCCATGCCTGTTGGGAATAGGCTATTCACTGTGAAGTTTCTATGCTAGGGTAAGGTAGAAGGAAGGGGGAGGGAATCAAAGCATGAACTGTTACAATGATGGAAGAGAATGGAAATGGGAGAGACGGCACAGGGGATCCTGAGAGGGCGATAGGTCTTCACGATGCAGCGCAGGGATCCAAAGGCAGAGTGCTGAGGGCCAAAAATTGAAGTCGCATGTTATGTTCTGTAAAATTCCTGCCAACCCCTCACTGAAGGGACAGGGGACAACTGGGAAGAGGGAGGCAGAACAGGAATCTTAGCCTTCAGCTCTCCCTATTGTTGTTAGATGCTGGGAAGTCAATTCTGACTGACAGCGACCCTCTGTAACAGAGCTGAACCACCCCCTGGTTATAAAGTTGTAATCTTTATGGAAGCAGATTGCCAGGTCTTTCTCCCAATGTTTCACCATTGTGACACCAGGGCTACTTCAGCTCTCCTTAAACTCTTGGCAGCAGGTGCCTGCACCTTCCCAGCTGCTGGACTTATCATGCCACCTAGAAACCCCTGTGAACATCTCGGGGCAAGGGTACATCAGCTGCATGTTGACAAATCTTGTATCATTCTAGCATCCTCATCAGGCAGGTAGACAGAGTTCCACCCAATGGGCACAATTCTAATGCTCCCCAGACTCGCTGTTCTCTCCTCCTCTCCCCAGAAATCTTCCAGAGGAAGGACAGACCCAAGACAAGTTCTTTTTTCAGCAGCTTCACATGAATGAAACAAGATGACAGTTTCTCCCCAGACAGCCCCCACAGAAACACAATGATCTGTGTTGCTCTGTCTCCTCTAATCTCTTTGAAGTGCTGGCCCCCAGAGACCTTATGTTCTGCTCTGCCTAGCACCTAACAGGTTGCAAATATGCTGCTGGTGGTGATGGTAAGATTATGAAGTCTGCAATTATGGGTCTGATCCCCCTGAAAGAGCCTGGATTCACCAACAAGCATTAAAAGTAGGTTTCTACAATGCACTTGTTTTTGCCATTTGTATATAATACTACGGCAAAATTGCACTGTAATTATCTTTATGGCCAGTGCATAACGCTGGGGAAGAGTATGTCATCCAGATATAGCTGCCCGTATAATTATCTGGCCGTCAGCAGGACTGAAATAACCATCTAATGAGATCAAAATGATATGGTAAGTACCATGTAATCAGCGAGTTACGGTTATTACGGCTTTTTGTGCCCTCTCACCCAGCACTGAATAGGGGACCAGACCCAGCCTCTGGTCCCAGGGAGTCATCCCAGGCAGCGTCATTGAGTGCTGGCTTCGTGGGCCTCAGGCTGGCTGCCTTGAGACCAATGAATGTGGGTAGCAGGGACAGAGAGGTATAGGGCTCTCTCTAGGATAATTGAGGCTTCCTCTCCTCTCTACTCCCCACATCTTTTCTTTGGAAGCTTGAGAAAAGAAATCCACCAGTTGAGCTGTTATTGCTGTGTGTGGGAAGATGGTGTCGAGGCGGAAGGTTCCATGTTTTGACTAGACGCTTTGCTGGGGGAGTCTCACACTCGCATACCAAGTGAGACATCTGTCTGCCCACTCAGGCCTGGGGTCCAGCTCAGATAGCTCTAGGGAGGGCAACCAGAACCCGTCGGGGGAAAAAGGAGGACATTACCCACACCTTACAGACCAGGATAATCAAAATAAAGCCTACAGCACTATGTGGCAGGCATTGTTCTGAGCACGCCACCCCACATTCAGTCTTGAGAACCCCAACCCTGAGAGAGGCCACTGTTGCTCTCATTTCTCAGAGAAGGAAACTGAGGTATAGAGAGGGATTATGCAGTTTGAGCAGAATTCAAATTCAAGCTGTATTCTTACCCATCACATTATTTAGCCTCAGAGATGGTTTCCAGCTACTGCTAGATTTCAGAGATTTATTCATAGAATCGCTATGGGTCGTCTGCGACTCTATGGCACTTAACAACAATCATTCCCAGTAGGGACTACGTAGAGACACTGCTCCAGATAGCCCAGGATTCTGAAGGACTTTAAAGATCCAGTGTGCCTGAGAGGCAGGCTTTTTTTATGAATCAGATATGATGCCTAACATTTCCAGATGATGACCTCTGTATCTATTGCACAGATTATAAGAGAACTGAGTGCCAACTAGATTATCCATCAGAAAAGCCGAGAAGAGGCCTCTCACCTGTCACCCATCACTTCTTCCCACTCAGTTGTCAGTCAGGCCCCATAAGACAGGGGAAAAGAGATAAAGATGATATTTATATGTGTATGAGCACACATCTCTGAGTGTCTGTACACTGGACCAAAGGCGTGCTAAGCACTGGCATTGTATTTTAGAACAAGTCTGTGAGTATTTGTTGCCCACTATATTGGAAGAAATGTACAATTGGTGGCCTCCTCTCCCACATATACAATTACCTCTCAGCTCTCCACCCAAACCTCCTTACCTCACTCTGCAATGGGGGGATACTTGAGGCTGACAAAGCTGGGGACGTTCTCGTGGTTCGCATCAATAGGCATGTCTGGGGTGAGGTAAACAGAGTTACTGTTGTGTACTGTTGAGTCAGAATCAGCTCATAGCTGACTCTCCAGTGGGTTTTCAGAGGCTATAAATTGCACAGGAGGAGATACCCATCTTTCTCCCACAGTGGATCTAGTGGATTCAAACCGCATGCCTTTGACTGGCAGTACAAGTCCTTACTATGAGACAACCCCCCCCCACCCCGCCCCAGAGCTCCTTAAACAGGGTAGAAGAAGAGATTTTTCTGAAGTTGCTCTTCACTCTGACCTAACAGTGAGGAACTCCCTGAGGGGCTTTGTTAAAAGACAGTTGGGAGGAAGAAGCACTCTCAGTGTGAAGAAAAGGGGAGACACAGAGCCTTCCCGCCCACACACGCCCCCTGGCACAGCAGAGCTAAACTACAAGGGTCTCCCTGCTCTTCTCTCAGAGAGGGTCCAGAATTGTGGCTCCAAGATGACTGGGAAGAAGCGGCTCAGGAAGCTTCACTATAGCAAAGAAAAATTCTCTTTGGGTCTGATTTAAAAATAGGAGGCATTTGTCATATCCTCTTCAACACCCTAAACCCTTCTACTGTACCTCCAAACACACTTACCCAGCTGGAGGTTCCTCTTGCCCATCAGCCCCACAAAGAAGTCGTGCATGTCACCTGCAGGAAAAAGGGTCCCGCATAGTCAACAGAGATGCATATCCGCAGACCCGTGTCAAGACATCAGAGACTGGGTTTCAAGTGTCTGTTTCTTTAACTTGCTGTCTTCAGCAGCCATGTGTCTTGAGCCTACCTTTTCTATCCACCCTCCCTCCCTCTTCCACATTTCAAGATTTCTCTGCTCTCAGCAGATGCATAGCTTGGAATTTGAATAGAAACCAAAAGCTTTCTTCTGACACCTCTTTGGTTTCCAGAGTGGGTCCCCATGCTCTGACTCTGCCTCCTCCTGGCTCCCTCAAGCCACCTTGATTTGGGAGGCAGCAGCTGAGCAGGTACAGCTGGCACATTGTTAACGCCATCAGAGATCAGCACTTGGACCTAAGCCTGTGGAAGAAGATCCCAGCAAGGCGTCAACAGAGAGAGGCTGAGAGAAGGGGCTACTCACGTTTCTGGGGAAGTGGTGACTCCTTAGGACCTGGGAAACCAAGAATAAGTGTGTACATTGGGGAGTTGAATCTAGAAAGTGATTATCAGAGGGAGGTCCAGACCACCACCCTCAACTCTTCACTAAGCCATCACCAGTTTCCCTCTGACTCTAAGGGTTCCTGTGCCTGTTTCATGCTCCAAATCCTGCCCCTTGCACTCCCCCCACCCCTTAGGGCTGCTTCTTACCCACACTGGCCTTGCTCAGCATTTTGAGCAGCCCATCCAGAGAGACTGAGCGTCTCTCTAAGAGTTTCCGGAGCACTGATGGGGGCAGGTGATAGAGATCCGAGTCCTTCTAGAGGAAAGAAATAAGGAGGGCTGAGGCAGAGATCACACCCCCGTGAAAGAAACAGCCTCGCCCTGCATTCGTCACAGCTGGACTCTGACATCCTCTTGGTTTCCAGAGTTCCTCTAGTTTGCACTAGAAGAGAAGTAGGTTTTCAAAGTATGGTCTGGGGTTCAACAGCTGCATCTCTCATCTCTAGGGGAACCTGTTAGAGATGCGTCATCTCAGGCCCACCAAAGCCCTACTGAGACAGAAGCTGCATTTTTTAACAGGATACCCAAGTGAATCAGAGGCACATGCAGGTTTGAAAAGCACCCATGGGTGGGGATATAGACCTCTGGAGTTCTACCCATTTCTGCCAATACGCCCGTGTTCAGGAATTTGACACATGAATCAACAAGTGTGGCACATTCCCCAGCTTCTGACCCAGAAGAAGCCACGGAAGACAGAAGTAGGAATCTGGGTTTTGATTTTACTCTATCAGAGCTAGAGCTGGTGGGGCTCCCTGAAAAGCTCCCCAAAGAACCCATTTGCCCAGGACTGAGGACTTCTGGGGTAAGATTTTTAGTCCTAAAACTGGATTTGTTGTTGTTGTGTGCCGTTGAGTCAGAACTGATCCATAACTGACCTTCCAGCAGGTTTTCCGAGGTGGTAAATAGCATGGAAGGAAATTGACCATCCTCCTCTGAAGCAGCTGGTGGATTCAAACTATATGCCTTTGAGATTGTAGCGCAGCTTCTTACCAATAGGCCTCTAGAGCTCCTAAAACCAGGCTGGTCCCAAGCAAATAGGAAGGTTGATCACTCCATCTCCTAGGTTCCCAAAGAGACTATCCCCTGGGCCTTCGCCTGCCTCCTACCCCTTCTCAAACACTCAGTGAGAAAGACCTTAGGCTCTTTTTCACCCTGACAACATCAGGAATAAGTTTTGCCAAAGATGTGGCTGCCCTATTAAGTGAGTTAGCCTTGAAATTCCTACACCCAAGAAAGGTCCATCAGACCAAGCACATGTCACTGGTTTATGCTTCATGATCACATCAAAGGTCTCAGTCCTGGGGACATGTTGAGCGGACAGCCAGGGGACATCTGCAGGCCTGAACATCCCCATACTGCATTCAAGCCCAATGGCGTTTCTCTCCATCTTCCCACTACCTCGTCTTTTTTCTTCCTCTCACAGGCCTCTTTTTCTGCTTCCCTCTCTTCCTCTTTCTGCTCTGGATCTAGAATTTCAGGAAGAGGGTTCGCTCCTCCTCACTCCCACCCCCACCCTGAAGCCAGATCCTGGATTGCTGCCCATCAGGGGTTCTTCATTGTCTTGGTAATTCCACCCCCCCCCCCAAGCAATTTGGGACACAGCAGGATGGTGAGCACGCACAGTAAGTTACTTGCAGCTGTGGAGGGGACAATATCAATGATCACATTTGGGGAGTTTCACCTTGAAACTCAGTAACGCCTTTCTCTCCAACCTCAGCTGCTCTATGCACTGAGAAACACATGTACACAAGATGCACCCCACACTCACACCGGTCAGCTGGATAGACACACATCTAGTACATATTCTACCTGCCTCCCAGCCTGGTTTCCTTCACCCTCAAAGATCCATAGGGAATAAGACAGCAATCCCTCCCCCTCACTACCAGAGGGACAGAAAGGACATCTTTTGATCCAAAGATTCAAAGCAAGTTTGTCTCAGAAGAACCCAGGCACATGAAGGCACTTTGCAGGTCTGCATGCAAAAGTTGACGTTTGGCACTGCCTTTGTGCTTTTTGAACTGTCTTTTAGATGGGGGCAAATCCTACCACCTATCAGACTGGCAGCCGGCTGTGTGCCCTGGCATGCTGCCCCAGGATGAAGCTTGTGATCAATCAATCCTTTTGCCCAGTGAAGGGCTTCTCAGACAATCGCTTCCTCCAGATTGTTCAAATACTCTACCCAACTCTAGTAATGAGATGCTAAACCATTCAGAGCTGGAGAGGCAGTTTGACTTCACACACTGAATCTGTGATAAGTTCCACCTGTAATCATCTTAAAAGCCTTTGTACCAGTGCAATTGCCTTCATTTCATAAACCTTAAAAATATATTTTCCTTGTTCTTCCCATACCCTTACCCTGCCAACCCCTACCTGAGGAAATTAAGGTTCAACTTCCCTCTCATTTCCTAACTCATCAAAAACTAGAGGTGGGCAAGGTAGAGGAGAGACGTCCAGAAGGAGGTTTGGATCGTAGGAGTGAGTACCTGAGGCTGCTGGATCCAGATGCGTAGAGGGTATGAAAATGTATCTGCATTTTTACTTTGCATTTTGGAAATAAAATAGCATGCATGACTGACAGGTAAAAACAGCATACAACTGACCATTTGTGAGAGAAAGCCTGACCACATTTCTTACTATTCAAGGCTGTTGCCACCTTGCAAAGACACAAAGCCTCTGCTGGACCTCAGAACCTTGGACCACCCTAGTTCAGCACCACCCAATCACCAAGTAAGCAGCCAAACAAGCACACAACACACTTGTTGCGCACCTTGTACATACAAGGCATCACGAGACATTTACAGAATAGCTGAGACAGGGAGAACACAAGACCATCAAGGAGGCACAGAAATCCAAAGGCAAATGATCTTTTGATGGATAACCCCTCCCAGTCCTGCCCCACCTTCCTACCATCGCTTGTCTCCAGAGTCCTAGCATGTCTCTCAGTTCTCTGCTAGAGTGGGGACCGCTCAGGGTGCCTTACCTTGCTGTGGCCCCTGCCAGGCACCACCTGCTCCTGCGACTTCTCACAGACAGCCCAGCTGCTCTGGATCAGGCTGAAGGCCAGGATGGCTGCAAACAGCAAGGTGCTCCTCATGGTGCCTATGAGGGCAAAGAGCCAGAAAGGCAAAGGGAGAGAGAGGAGCAGGCTACAGGCAGAGGAGGCTACAAGCCAGGTCTTCAGCCAGGTGCAGACACAGGAGACATCACCAGAAACCTGGCTTGACCCTGCTTCCCTAGCCCCAACTCTCCTACCAAGACCTTGGCATGCCTAGACACTCTTCAGGCATTGCATCCCCTTGGGCTCATTTCCCCTGCTCGTCATCAGACTTCTCCCCAGGACATGCGCCCGGGAATGAGCAATGGTGTGGTGGTGCCAGGGAACTCTCAGGACCCAAGGAAAAGGGTAGCTTATGGTACATGCACACTGGGGCAGACAATTTCTTTGAGAAGCGACCCTAGAGCTATTTTCCAGCTCTAGGTAACCCCAAGACTTAGACAAAAACTTTCTAGTTCAGAAAAACCCGTCTACAACCACAAGCTCCAAACATTAACCATATACACTTTCTGCTCACCTTCCAGGTGCCCTGGTCCTTATCAGCAGCTGTCACCTCCTTCACTCCTTCCTCATTCTGGCCCCTGCCCCAAGGCATCAGCTCCCAGACAGCCAACCTTCTCACACTCTCCCCTCCTCACTCAATCATGCCTACCTGTGGGCGGCTCTGAGCCTGGGCCGGATGCTTTGACTGGATCAGGGTACTATCTGGGAGCTGGCAGCACAGCCCACTCCCCAAGCCCACGAATGCTGCCGCTGCTGCCAAAAGAGAGAAAAGGGAGTGGAGCGGATCGTGGAATGTAGCAGGAACCCGGTCCCAGCTCTCTGATAAAGACTCTGGGAGGGTCTGGGGGAACTGAGGGGAGGGGCTGAGAGTCACCAATCCCAGGGTGGCTGGAGGGGAGGAGGGAACACTAGGGGGAGGAGGAGGGAGACTCCAGCGCGCGCACACACACACACACACACACACACACACACACACACACACACACACACACACACACACCAGTGAGCCCAAGTTGTCCAGCACACCTACTTTCTAAAATTCCCAAGCCACACACTCTAAGGAATGTTGTGTGTGGTTTTCACAGATTTCCAGGGCCGGGTTAGTTCAATCGGTATGGACCTCTGAGTCCCTTTCCCTCCTAGTTCATCTACCAGTTGGTTCAGGCTTGACTGACAGGCCAGGACAATTTCAGATAGAGGTCTCTCTGAGCCTCCCTCCTCCTGAACAACCAAGCTAGCCTGAAGACTGAGTGGTGAGTCTAGCATCTTCTCCAGTCCTCACTCTATCCTCCTCCCCTCGCCACTGGAAACTGTCCCAAATGGAAGGCCGCATCTGCCCCACCACACAGATCTTTATGCCAAGTGAGGGCCAGCACTTTCCCCTGCTACACTGAAGCCAGCAACGTCCAGTCCAGGATCTGCCTCCCTTCTCTGCTCCTCTTCATTTAATGTCTCTCCTCTTGACCGCCTCATCCCACCCCTTGACCTTGATTCAGCTTAACTTAATTTTTTTTCCAGAACTCTAACTTCTATCCCTCCTGCTGTAATCCCAGAGGAAAGGAACAGAACATGATGGCTGAGCTGTTCCCTACCCCTGCCTCCACTCAGCATTGATCTCTTAATTGCTGCTTCTCTTTTTTTCCCTCAATTACATGTTTTCCAATTTAATCTGTCTCTCCGCAGATCAAGCTTCTTCCCCCCTGATCTTCCAAGTCTCCTGTCTCCAAGTCTCCACACTGTTGAGCGGTTTATTCTGCTCATTTCACATGCAAGGAAGAGAACCCCAGGGGGAAAGTCAGAACTAGGATCAGAAACAAGACCCAGAGACAAAAGGCTAGAGGAGATGCAGAGTGGAAAACTAATCAGAATGATTCATCACTCCAACCCTAAGTCCCGTAGAATGGTGCTAGGCATAAATATTTACAAAGTGCTCCTGCATGCTGTTGCTGTTGTTATGTACCACAGAGTCACTTTCAACTCATAGCCACCCTATGTACAATAGCTCTGAATCCTGCTCTATCTTGAGCCCATTTAATTGTCTTTGAAACACCTATCCCCATTACCCCAGTCAATGAGTTAATCCATCTCATCCAGGGTCTTCCTCTCTTGCACTGTTCCTCCACTTTTTCAAGCATGATGTCCTTCTCCAAGGACTGGTTCCTCCTTGAAACATACCCAAAGTATGTTGGACAGAGCTTCAGAATCCTTGCCTAGAAAAGCTTAGTTTCACCCTCTCCAGGAGGAACCTATTTGTTCTCCTGGTAGTCGATGGTATATTCAATACTCTTCTCCAGCACCACAATTCAAAGGCATCAATTCTCCTTCTATCAACCTTAGTCATTTTCCAGATTTCTGAGGCACAGCAAGTAACTGAGAAGACCATGGCCTGGATCACGCACACCTTCGTCTCGTTATTCTTCAGTACTCTGGAAAGGTCCTTGACAGCAGATTTTCCCAATGCAATTCATCTTTTGATTTCCTGGTTGTTGGTACCAAGAACATTGATTGTGGAGACAAGCAAACTGAAGCTGTTAATAATCTCAATCTCTTCTCCATCTATCACAACACTGTGGTGAGAATCTTTGCTTTTTAAATGGTGATCTTCAATCCATATTGAAGGCTCAAGTCCTTGACCTTCTGCAGCAAATCGTCAGGTCCACCTCAGTTTTGGCAAGCAAGGTTGTGTTATCTGCATAATGCAGGTTGTTGTTGAGTCTTCCTCCAATCCTGGTGCCACATTCTTCCTCATAGAACGCAGCCTCTCAGATGATCTGTTCCATACATAGATTGAAAAGGTATATAGAGAGGATGCATCCCTTATGCATAGCTTTCCTGATTTTGAACCACACAGTGTTTCTTTGATCTGTTCTGATGACTGCCTCCTGGTCCAAGTGTAGGGTTCACATAAGCACAATCACATATTCTGGGGTCCCCATTCTTACAGTTAGCCACAGTTTGTTGTGATCTACCCTTTCATTTTGTTTTTATTTTCTATTTCTTGTAATGCAACATATTTTTACAACATTTTCTTTTCATTTAGTGATCTACTCTTACATAAAACATTTCATTTTATCACCACCATTATGTAAGTAGAAAATATTCTTATTTTTCATATGCAGACACTGAGCCTCAGGTGATGAAGTTACTCTGGAACATCTAGGTGCTGATCAGCAAAGAACAACCTCAAATGCAAGTTTTTATCTCTCCAAGTCTCCCATTGTTTGTAATGCACAGGAGTGGGATTTGGTCTGTAGGGGGAATAATTAGCTTCCAGAGGAAATGGATGGCCCACATCCCCAAGAAACTTGAGTGATTTGAGATTCAAAAGAGATCATAAAATGAAGGCTATCATGGCTGATATCAGATGGATCTTGGCTGAAATCAGAGAATACCAGAATTGTGTTTACAAGTGTTTTATTGACTATATCAAGGCATTTAACTTTGAATATCATAATAACTTACAGATAATATTGAGAAAAACAAGAATTCCAGAACGTTTCATTGTGCCCATGCAGAACCTGTACATGAGCCAAGAAGTATGCATTCAAACAGAACAAGGAGACCTTGCATGGGTTAAAATTTGCATCAGGGTTGTGTCTTTTCACCATACTTATTCAATGTATGCCTTGAGTTGTGATAAAAAAGAAGAATACTGAGTGTCCCATGAACTGTCAAAAGAACAAACATAAGGATCCAAGAGAGGTGGGAGAGGTTGGAAGCAGAGGGATGTGGATGTGCAGGGAAGAGGGAGATCAATTTTCAGGTTGTACAATTTGATGGGGGTGCGGGGGTGAGGGAAATTGAAAGAATTTGTTCTTGAAAACAATGTATTCTAATTTTGTAAATAAACTAGTAGAAATTTTAAAAAAATGAACAAATACAAAGCAACTAGGAGATATCATAGCAAAATTTAACAGAACAGCAAGTAACAAATGCTGGTGAGGTTGTGGAGAAACTGGAACCCTTATTCACTGTTGGTCGATGTGTAAAATGGTGCAACCACTGTGGAAGGCGGTATGGTGCGTTCTCAAAATGTTGCAAATAGAAATACGATTTTACCCAGCAATTCCTCTACTGGGTATATACCCCAAAGAGACCATAACTGACACCCAAGCAGATATATGCACACCCATGTTTATCACGGCTTTGTTCACAATAGCAAGGAGTTGGAAACAATCTGAGTGCCCATCAACAAACGAATGGATCAAAAAGCTCTGATATATTCACACATGGACTACTACACTGCATTGAAAAACAAGGAATTCATGCAACATTATTCCAAATGGGTGACCCTGGAAGACATTATACTGAGTGAAGTATCTCAGTCACAAAAGGACAAATACCACATGGTGCCACTGTTGTAAAACAGGACTGACATTGGGGTTGGGGGGAGACTGGGAAGGATGGGTTTAATAACGTATACTGCATTGAAACAGATGAGGGAGAAAACTGTTTAAAAGGGATATGTGATTAGGTATTTTTGTCATGACAGGAGACATGTCGCTTTGCGAAGGCTGCATAGTGAAGTGCACCTGGGGGGAGGGTTTGTAAAAAAATGAAAGAATTTTTCTTTTACTTTTCCAAGAGGGGAGTGTATTGAGGGGGAGGGTTGGGAAGGGGGAAAAGTGCAACAATGAATGAATGGAAATCCAAAGCTTCTGTAAATTTTCATTGAAATTAATAATTAAAAAAATTTTAGAAAATGAACAAACATATATGTCTTGGAGAAAGTGCAACCAGAGTACTCCTTAGACTCAAGAATGGGAAACTTCGTCTCACGTTCTTTGGGCATGTTGGTTTAGGTCCAGTCCTTAGGAAAGGACATCATGCTTGGAAAGATGGAGGACCAATGAAAAAGAGGAAAATCCTCAACAAGATGAATAGACACAGTGACTATAACAATGGACACAAAGATGACGAGGATGGCACAGGATAGGGCAGCGGTCAGGACTGTTGTTCACAGGGTGGCTATGAGTCATAGTCACTACGAATCAAGGCATCTAAAAACATTGTGTTGTTATGTGCCGTTGAGTTAC